AAAAAAAAGGAGGGAAAAGAAATAACAATTCAAAAAATCAACCAGCATCTTCCCCAATCAAACAATCATCCACACATCTTCAATCAAACAATCAACATCCCCATCATTCATCATCAACAACATTCCCCCCCCCCAATCCTTCAATCTTCAGATCCAGATCAACTAGAAAACAAAAAAAAAGAAAAAAAAAAGTAGAGTTTGAAAGAGGCGATACCCACCGGCGCCGCCACCGGTAGAGAGAGAGAGACGTCACCTTCTCTTCATCCTCTCTTCCTTCTCTTCCTCCTCTCTTCTCTCTTCTCTTCGCTCTCTCGCCTCTTCTCTCCTCTGTATGTGAAAGCAACTGAAGCAAGAAAATTATTCACCCAAAAAAACTGAAGCAAGCAAAAGAAAAAGAAAGAAAAAAAATAGTCAAAATGATGTCGTTTTGGCTATTCGAGCCACTATCGAGCCACATTTCTCGAGCTACAAAGTATTATTGACAAATTTATAAGTCTCATTTGTATTTATTAATGTGAATATTACTATTTTTATCTCTAGTGTTAAGGAAATTAGGTAAGGAATCCGACAACCTATAAATTTTTCAACAAAATTATGCAAATAATCTCTGAAATATACCACTAATTTCATTTTAATTCCTAATTTTTAATTTATTTCAATTAAATCTCTAAACTTCATAGACTAATCTGATATAGTTCATTTCATTAATTGTTATTTAGAAAACATGTGAAAAATACTTAGATCAACCTCACATCAAGATATGAAGGTATAGAGAACATTTTAATACATTTATTTATGTTAAATAATAAATACTACCAATTATATAGTCAAAATGTTTTTTTTACTCTAAATCACGGTGTGAAAGGTTGATCTCAGACAATTGTTCAAATAATTATAGAGAGAATACTTGAGTGCCAAGATAAGTGAAGTTTTAAATTTGAATTTATAGAGAGACGTTAACTTGTATTATAATTTAAATTGAAAATATATTGTATTTAGTTTTATGACCAATTTTTGTATTTTTATATGTTATGATGGAGTTAGATTGCCAAGTGTAATATGTAATAACAATTAACAGCCATGGAGTAAAACAGCCCAGAAATCCATGGTCCGATGGACCAGAATACGTCACACAGTGCGCTATTCAACCAGGAACAAACTTCACATACAAAGTCATATTCTCTGACGAGGAAGGAACCCTTTGGTGGCATGCCCACAGCGACTGGACTCAGAGCAGTGTCCATGGTGCCATTATCATCCTGCCTGCACAAGGCACCACTTACCCATTTCCCCAACCAGACGCAGAAAAAGTTATAGTACTCGGTACGCATTCACGTGCTCTTTCTCCATCAAACTCGTACTGGTTTTTTAAAATTTTCACACACCATACACATGTATGTGCATAAATTATTCACTTGTGCTAGATTTTTAGTTGGGATTTTTGTTGAAGTATACGTCTCTCAACTGTTTGATAAAATGCCTCAATGAACAACTGTTTCTTATTACACTGACCTCCCCTTTGGTTTATGACAATTATAGAAACCTCCCCTCTGGTTTCTGAAATTACATTTACCTCCCTTGAGTGGCTTTAGTGTTGACCTTATAGGTACGTT